CAGTATCTATACTTCTACTTAAGTAACAAATGTGTGTACTTTTGACACCACTGCGAAGCAGCAGCCTTAGTCGGTAAACATTTAGCCCAAAACCTTTAAAACAGCCCCACCCATATGGTCACGGGTCAGAACAACAAAAGCTTGGCTTAATGGATCGCTAACACTGACTGGAGCTGAGCTACAATATGACAGAAGCGCAACGTCCTTATGCTAGAAGCAGCTATGTATTGATGCTGACTAGATGATGAGGAAGATCTATTTAAAACGGGAGGCAGCAGAAGACAAGTGTTAAAGCTCCGACGACTTTCATAGCATGTGGACTAAGCTGCTGACAATCTGATCCTTTTTGGCGGCTGAACATTGACAATAAACACGTGTTCCTCTGACTCATCCCCCTGTTTATATGAAGTCTCTCAGGAAAACATAGTAATGTTTCTCAGGAGGTGGAGTCTGATGGGAATAGAAGGAGTTTTTAAATTTAAAATGAGATGAGAGAAAAACCTAACTAAGTGAAAGTGAAATATAAACATTAACCAAAGTATACTGCAGGTCATGCTGACATTCCTTTTTCAGCCATTCGCAGTCCCCTTTAAGGTGATCTAGTCTGAATTGCCAGAACTCACGTGTGCATGCTCCCCTCTTGCTAACATGAGTTCTGTCTAAGTATTCTGACTTCTTCCCATGTTGTAAAAAAACATGCATGTTAGGTCAGGTGGTCTCTCTAAATTGACTTTAGGAGTGTCCCTTATGCTGCCTTGTGACCAGGGACGTCTGACCTCCCCCCTCTAACCACATCTGACCCAAAACAGACAAATGAGCAGAGGCAAATAGACAGAAATCTGTGGAAATGTATTAAACTGCTATGAAATGTAAACATGTTGAATTATAAAATAAAAAAAAAACATATTTTTATATTATAGGATGTCTTACTTCTGTTCTCAAGAGTTTTTATGACATAATCTCCAACAGGTCCAGCAGATAATGAGCTCAACAGTCTGAAGTGATTCAGTTCAAATGGGCTTTTGATCAATTCACAACATTACAGGAAAATTCTGCTTAATTTTTTTCTTGTACAGTTTGGTGCTAATTTCACAGTGTTTAATCAAAGTCAGCTGATCTTTTGTCAGCAGTTGTTTAGCAGAGGTTTATCTCTATGCTCAAATTCACATCATCTCATCTCAGGTCTCTTTCTAGATTCAGATCAATCAGATTATGCAGTCAGATTGAAGGTTCAAAGTGTCTATCTGAAGAAAACCAGCTGATTGCAACTAATCATTGACTTTAGAGGACTCTCTGCTCCTGGATGCAGGTATTGATACATCTAAGAAGGCCTATTCAATTAACATTAAGCTGTTAACTGTTGATTGATTGATCTCACAGTGGAGACATTTACTTGTTACATAGGCTCAATTACTCAAAGAGAAGAAGAAGGTGCTAAATGAAGAAAAGGTGCATGGGGGTATATAGTACGTCCATATATATATATACACTATATTGCCAAAAGTATTTGCTCACCTGCCTTGACTCACATATGAGCTTAAGTGACATCCCGTTCCTAATCCATAGGGTTCAATATGACGTCGGTCCACCCTTTGCAGCTAGAATAGCTTCAACTCTTCTGGGAAGGCTGTCCACAAGGTTTAGGAGTGTGTTTATGGGAATTTTTGACCATTCTTCCAGAAGCGCATTTGTGAGGTCGCACCCTGTTGTTGGACGAGAA